GCAGTGCCATGGTGGCTAAGGCGGTTCTGGACATAAACCGAATCATCCCACGTGGGCCAGCCTCGCAGGGAATCACATTTCACCAGCGCACTGCCTTCAGGCCCTGAATTAAATAAATAATTCTTTTTTATTGGAGAGGTTTTTGCTATAGGACATGTCCGCTTGCCAGAAAGACAGAGAAAGAGACAGAGAGACAGAAATCACCCCCTCTCCGGGGGGGAATGGCCACACTGCAATCCTGTCTCCTCCATTCTCCTCTCAGGATCCTGGGCATGCACGCACACGCATCCAGTGTGAGTTTAAGCCACCGGGTCCAGGACTCAAACCGTGGTCAACTACATGGAAGTCCAGTGACATAGCCATTATGCCAACTGCAGGTTCCAATAAAGAATTATTTTTTAAAAATTGTGCACCTGGGTCTTCTCACAGCGGGTTCACGTGATTTGCATATGTGCCTCCCGGGCAGAGTCCTATAACTAGGAATTTCTCTATCTGCCCACAATCGAGGCCTGCCTCTGTGCATTTTCTTCCACGGCCTCTGGGCTAATGAAAGCAGCCTGACTTCTCTGGTCTGGTCTCATGTAGCAGCCACACTAATCTTTCTAAAACGCAGTGTGATCAAATCAATCTCCTCTCCACCCGGTCGGGAGGAAGTGAACCCTCCCCAGGTCCCCAGCAGGGCTCTTCACGGCCGTTTTCATTTGGCCTCTCCTGTCTTACATGGCCCTTCATAATGCTTCCTTAAAGTCCTGTCCGCCTTCTTAGTTTGGTTCTTTTGGGGGAACCGACTCTCCCTCCACTTCCCCTTACTTGGTTAAGGCCGATCATTCCTCCCGCCCTCCCCTTCCTCCTCAGTGTCAATGCCTCTGTCCTCCTCCATGCCACCATCCCCCAGGTCCAGGTCAGTTGTTCCCTTGTGACAAGTTTATGTCCAGCTTTTACTCTGGTTAGGATTTACTTACACTTTGGGGAAAGAAATTAATGCCCTTTGAGCTATACATCCAGTCATTTTGGCACGACATAATTAAAACTGCTGGTTTACAATTTTTGAAACTTGGGGCTGGCAGGTGGCATGGTGGTTAAGGCACTGGACTTCCACATAGCTGACTGCAGTTCAAGTCCCCAACCTGGCAGCTTGCTTTCTCATTTCCACATGAGTACATGTGCCCTATAGTTAATAAAAAAAAATAATAAACAAAATAGTAGTTTTTTTTAAAAAAAAAGATGTTTGAAACATAGGAGGCCAGAGAGTGGCACAGCATTAATATACCACTCTCCAAGGCTGACCCACATGGGAAGGTTCTGACTTTGTGTCCAGAGACTTCCTTGAAAACACACCTGTGTGTCTACAGTCCAGGGCTGGCTAAGGCTGGAGATCGAGTTGGGCATGAAGACCCTGTTAGAAGTGCTCCTCCATCTCTCTTGCTCACAGAAGAAAAAGAAATGAAGGAAGGAAAGAAGGAAGAAAGAAAGAAGAAAGGAAAAGAGAGAGAGGAAGAGAAAGAAAAAGAAAGAGAAGAAAGAAAGAAGAGCAAGAAAGAAAACTCTTTTTTTGGAGAAAGTTTTGCTATAGGGCGTGTGTGCTCACTGGAGAGACAGAGAGAGAGAGAGTGAGAAAGTAAGTTGTCAGGTCGGCGATTCGGCCTAGTCAGTCATATGGGAGTCCAGCACCTCAACCACATGCCACCTGTTATACCAGCAACAAGTGTTTTAGAATATCTAAAAAGGTTGCGGAATCTTAGCTGTAACACATACTTATGACAACTCCCTTTCTTTACCTTTGTTTTTGGAGAGATTTTTGCTATAGAGTACATGCGCTCACCATAAAGATGGACAGAGACAGAAAGACAAAGACACAGAAAGCGAGAAATCACCCCCTAGAGGGGATAACCATGCTGCAATCCCTTCTTCCCCATTCTCCTCTAGGGATCTTAGGCACGCTCGCACACGCACACGCGCCCAGCATGAGTTTAAGCTACCGGGTCTGGGACTCAAACTGCAGTCAACTACATGGGAATCCAGCAACGTAGTCATTATGCCATCTGCTGGTAAAGTCTGTAATCGAAACTCTGTGTTTATTACTGTTCATCAAGTTTATTTTAAAAAATTATAAAGTATGGGCCAGTAGGTGGTGTGATGGTTAAGGTGCTGGACTCCACATTGCTGAACACTGTTCAAGTCCAGGACCTGGTGACTTGAAAATCATACCTGGTACATGTGTGTGCATTCACAGAATCCCAGGGGGAAATGGAGGAGGAGGGATTGTGATACAGCCATCCCTTCTGGGGGGTGCTTTCTCATTGTCCCTCCATCTGCTGGCCCCAAATTTAAAAAAAAAAAAAAAAAAGAATTATCTTATTTTAACTTTATTAATTATTATGATTATTTTCCAATTGGACCAGAGAGAGACAGAGAAGGGGGAGTGAAAAAGGAAGCAAGCCACTAGGTCTAGACCCTGAACCATGGTCAGCCATGTGGAGTCCTGCACCTTGAACCACCATGCCACTTGCCAGCTGCCAGATAAATTTTTTTTAAAGTAGTAAAGCAGGTTGCATGGTGGTTGAGGTGCTGGACTTCCACATGGCAACTGTGGTTTGAGTACCAGACCTGGCAGTTTGCTTCCTCACTCCCCCTACTCCTCTGTATGTCTCTCTTTGGTCAAACTAAAATAAATGAATAAATGAGTAAAAATAAATGAATAATTATTTGTTAAAAGTAATAGTTGCATAAATGTAATGAATTACTCTCCAAACCAAAGCTGCATCATCTTCAATAGCATTTAACAAAATTATGTTCTCAACGCCAAAGACAGAAAAAAGATCAAACTTCCGTTGTCAAGTTTATCAATTAAGTTGAACAGTTGGAAGAGTTCTTTGGAGGTATTACAGGAGGACACAGAAAGAATATAAAAAGGCAAATGTTTCAGGTAAAAGTGCTGAAACTTTGAGACCGTAAATATTACTATACTTATATATTTTTTATAGTTAAATGAAACCCGTTTCTATTAAAAACCTTTAGGAAGCATGAGAAGGCCCCATCACAGGTGTGACTCCTGCCCCACACTGCTCAGGGATAGCTTCCAAAGCTCTCATCTAGAGACGCCATTAGATTTCTTCAGGGACATCTTAGTTGTTTCAGCTGTTAAAGCAAATCAAGCCAATTTCAAAACGGGGACATCGGGAGTATGTATTAGAGTTATATTTTGGAAAACAATCCATGGGAAATTAAGTAGGAAGTGTTTAATTTGGAAATGCAAACTCTTAGTGATTAGGTGTTGAATGATGTGCATGATCAAGGAGTTATGAGCAGAGACTAGAACTGACCGATTATAAATAAATAAAAGAGAAAAAGCATGGGGGGGGGCAACTTATGGCCTTGTGGTTGGGGGCGCTGGGTCTGACATGGTCAAATGTAGCTGGAGTCCTGCTGCAGTGCCTTGCATGTCCCGTGTGCCCACATGTCAGCATCCTGGGGTGGAGAAATGGAGACGAGATGACTGTGGATAACTATGACCCTCTCACTGTCTCTCTGGTGATTATGTACCCTCTGGCAAATAATTTAAAAAAAAAAGAAAGAAAGAAAAAGAAAATATTTTAAAAACAATTATTTTCTTTAACTTTATTTATTTAATTTGACCAGAGAGGACACAGAGAAAGAGAGAACGTGAGAAAACACACCAGGTTTGGGGACTCAAACTGCAGTCAGTCATGTGGGAGTCTAGCACCCTTAAGTACCACACTACCTGTCGGCCCGGAAAGAAAATATTTTTAAAAATAATTATTTAACTTTATTTACTATTATTATTTTCCAGTACGATCAGAGAGACAGAGAAAGTGAGAAAGCAAGATGTCAGGTCCAGGACTTGAACCGAGGTCCACCATGTGGGAATCCAGTGCCTTTAACCACCACACCACCTGCGGGCCCCAGAAAGAAAATATTTTAAAAAGAAAAAAGCAGGGCACAGAGGGGTTTGTTTACATACATTTTATTAATTTATAATATACATTATATTTAAGTAGGGTGATTTTCTTCATTCAAATAACTTCCACCGTTTGAAACCATTAAGACCCTGGAGTGGGGGGCATTTGACCCCCTCCTAGACTCTTTTCCTCCTAGAGCTTGGGTTTCACTATTTGGTTAAGGCTGGCCTTGAACTTGTGCGGACTTGAGATCCTCCAGCCTCAGCCTCCCATGGGGACCATTTGATGTGATCTTTCTGCATCTTTTGGGGGCTGGAAGGTGAAATGAAGGTAACAAATACAGCCTGTTGCTTTCCTTGGGGCGTTCATAGTAGGAACGGGACAGAAACTTAAACCAACATTAAATTCCCCCTTCTTCCTTTGAGTCGATTGGCCAAAGCCGCGTTCACTCCTTAGAAACTGCCTGGGATTGGACTAGAGGAGAGCGAACCCTCGGACGCTGGACTCAGGAGAGCTGGTTTCTCCTGCGACTCCGCAGCTCGTGACATCGAGCACAAGGCTTCGGTTTCATTATTTGGGGAATGGGAACAATTTATGTTTTATAAGGTTGTTGTGAAGATGAAACGGGCCTGTGGGTAAAAAGCTCTTTACAAACTGCAAAACGCTCCCCAGATGTTGGTTATTATCTCCTTTAAAGGGCACAGGATCTGATTCAACCGTACAGGAGATTGCAAAAAGGCTCTTCACACTTGGAGTCAGAACTTGACCCTGAGCTTAATCTGGCCGTAAAACCCAAGGGTTCCAGTGACCCACAGCCGCCCGGGGCAGGGTCACCCCCACGGCCGCGCGGTCACTGCGGTGTTCCCTCCTGAGCTGCCGCTCCCCCCGCGGTCCTCCCAGTCTCCCCCCACCCCGGCGGACCGCGCCGTTCCTCGCCACTTGGGTGGCAGGATTGGAGGGCGTGGCCAGGGCGCAGAGGGCTCTCGCGGCCCGGGCGAGGGGCGGGGCCTCGGCGGGGGCGTGGCTCGGCCTTGGGCGTCTGGGGCCGCGGGCGCGGAGCTGCGGAGCGGAGCGGGTCAAGCCCCGCCGCGAGCCGCCGCCGAGCCCAGGGGCGACGCGCTCTCCTGCGCTGTCCACACCCGCGTTCCTTCGCCTCCGCAACAGGTCAGGCGAGGGCGGAGGTGACGGGGGCGCAAGACCCGGGACTGGTGGGGGAAGGGTCTGGAAGGTAAGCGGCGCCCGTGGCTCCCCGGGCCGGGGTCCGCCTGGCCCCCCACGCCACAGCCGCGCGCACTTCTCGGAAGGCGAGGCCGTCCCCGCCGGCGGCCGGCTTCCCAGCACTCTGACTCAAGTCGCTGGCGTTCCCGCATTTCCGGTGGGAACCTGCCGGGAGCATAGGCGAAGGCGCAGAGCTCTTACCGCCCCTACTTGCAAATCGTGGCAGGTGGCGTCTAGGAAAACGGGACCGGGACGCCGGGAGGGACCAGTCCTCCTCTAGACCCCGAAAATCACGCCTCTGCCGGTGCGCCCTGCGCCTTGCGGAAAGCTGTCCCGTGGTTGGAGCGTGGTCCCTGCGTTGCGTAATAGGAGTCCCAGAAGTTTCTCTGGGATGGAAGTGGCGCGTCCCTCCTCCACCCCAGTCCCCTCCCAGGGGTGGAGGAGGGGAGCTTAGTGGCTCCTGTCCCACCGGACTGTGACCGAGAGGCGTGCGTCGGTGGTCCGCAGCCTCCCGGGAGCGACGGAAAAGTTAGAGCCCCCCTCTGAGTCTTGCTCCTGGGGCGTCTTCGGATTATGGGACTGGCTAATTTCTCTGGAGCATTTTCCCTCGGGTGTCTGAACCTGTCGTAATGAGAGGCACACGTGTAGAGGGGAGAGGAATGGGGGGTATTGTCATCCGTCTTCGTAATGCAATGGCAGTTACGTTAACGAGGCTGCTTCCCCGCGCTCCGGGAACTGCCACCTGCACCCCCACATTGTCATGCAAATCTCTCCAGGAAGGGGAAGACCTCGGTGTTTTGGAAATGTAGAGGTGTCCGAGATTTCTGAAAACCCGTCTAGTGGGGGGAAGGCCTCGCTGCCTGTGATTCGATGTATTTAGTTGTAAGGGCGAGGCAGGACGATTTAACCCTCATTATGCACTTTGGGGGTCTAAGTCTCTGAGGAAACAGACCTCACCTTGCAACGCGAAGCCGTAGAGAGAGGCGAAGACCGACGCTCCCGGCGCGGTTCCGGAGAGCTGGGTAACCCAGGCAGGAAAACCTCGGGGAAGGAGGCTGAGGTGGGAGGGTACTGCCCCTGCGAAGTTAGGTCGGAGCAAGGTCACACGCCGAGCGGGAAAGCCGCTAGCTGGGCAGCTCTGGTAGACCCGCGTGGGATCCGAAGGCTTGACAAAGAAGACCTTTGGACTGGAGAGTCTAGTTCTAGAGGCTGAAGGATACCTAGGCACTGCCCTGTTTCAGGGCTGACTTCCTGTCCCATGTGTCTCCTTAGCTCGCCTTTTATCGTTCGTGGATATTCTGGAAATAGATTCACAGGAGAATTGAACATTCTGGATGGGTCGCCTGCTTTAATTTAGAGGTGCTTCTTGCCAGTGTTGGAAACTATGGCATTGGAATATAAATGTGCAGAAAAGGGATGGAGAGGAGAGTGATTCCCAGGGACAGCAGGAGAGCAATCAAGAAAGAACAATAGCTACTCCTTGAAACTGGGAAACTACTTCCATTCGGCTGTGCAGGGGAGAAAGGACCAAGGAGAGGTGTTTGTTGTTGTTGTTTAAGAAGTTGTTGCCTTAGGGAGGCTGCGCTTCCTGGGGAGAGACAGAGGCACTGAGAGGGAAAGTGGGAAATCACCCCCCAGCAGGGATGGCCACACCGCAATCCCTTCTCCATTCTTCTCCCGGGATCTTGGGCACGCACACCCATGCACACAGTGTGATTTTCAGGATACCGGGTCCAGGACTGGAACCACAATCGGCCATGTGGGAGTTCAGTAATGTAACCACTACACCATCTGCTGCCCCCCCCAAGAAAGGTTTAAAGACATATCTGATGATTTTGAGATAAAAGTGGGACTGAAGAGTGGAACTTTTGGGAAAAAAATGAGTTGAGGTAATGGGGACTTTTCTCATATAACTTACAGGGTGATGAGGCTGGGAATGTGGGACCTGCACGTATGTTTCTGTGAATTATTTGCTTTACTCCTGCTAGAAGATCACCTGTTACATTTTAGTGTTAATGTTTTATTCACCTGGCCGGCAGGTGGCAAGGTGGTTAGGGTGCTGGACTCATACACGTCTGACTGCAGTTTGAGTCCTGGGCCTGGAGGCTTGCTTTTGCACTTTCTCTCTCTCTTTTTCTCTGGTGAACATGCATGCCCTATAGCAAAAATTAGAATAATAATGACTTAATTAAAATAAATAATAATTTAAAATATGTATTAGTCACTGTGGCTATTGAATTTCTGTGGTGACATTGATATTCATAATTTGTTTAATTCTCTTCAACTTTGGAAAAATGAATTTTTGAACAATCACGATATGTTAAATTAGGATACAGAAGTCATCTAGAGATGGAGACATTATGGCAAAATAAAGTCCAGATCATTTAAAATATTTTCTCCTACAAAATAAGACACAAAACATGCGTATATTCTTTGCTTCTGGCACTTACTGTTTCATTGTGAGGTAATAAAACGATATCAAAACTGGAGCTGGCAGGTGGCATGGTGGTTAAGGGTGCTGGACTCCCACATGGCTGACTACAGTTTGAGTCCCGAACCTGGCAGCTTGCTTTCTCACTTTCCTTCTCTCGTTCTCTTTCACTTTCACTCCCTGTCTGGTCAAAATTTAAAACAAAACAAAGTTAAATAAAGTAATTCTTAGAAAACAAAAATAAAAACTGGCTATCTTTCTGGTTTCCTATCTGGTTAATAACTGACTTACAAAGAGCTGGTTGAGCTAAAAGTTACTTTGCTTTTAATTGACTAAGATATTTACCTAATTGGGTTTTGGATTAAATTTGGAAGCAACTACCCAATTAGATATATGTATATTGGGGCTGGCAGGTGGCACGGTGGCTAAAGGCACTGGACTCCCACATGGCTGACTATGGTTCGAGCCCTGAACCTGGTGGCTTGCTTTCTTTCCTTCTCTCTCTTTCTCTGTCTCTCTCTCTTTCTGATGAAAACTGGAAAGTAATAATAGTAATAATAAAGTTAAATAAAGTAATTCTTTAAAAAAAAAAGTTAAAAAAATACGTATATCTAGGTTGCATTTTTTCTTTTTGTGTCTTCCATGGGAGAGACAAAAATAGCACCTTCAACAGGGTCTTTTCTTTTTTAAGAATTATTTATTTAATTTTATTTATTTCTTCTTCTTGTTCAATTTGACCAGAGAGACAGAGAGAGAAAGCAAGTTGCCAGGTTCTGGACTCGAACCACAGCCAGCCGTGGGGAAGTCCAGCACCCTCATCACCATGCTACCTGTTGGCCCCTCAACAGGGTCTTTATGCTGGAATCCTCCCATCTTAGCCAGCCCCAGGTCACGGCTGTGCACTCACCAGGCATGTCCAGACTCGAACCTGGAACCTTTGAATACATTGGTCTCACTGAGCCTTGCATTGTCACCATGCCACTGTCTGGACCCTGAGTTGCATCTTCAGCAAGTATTTCTATAATCCACTGTATGTGGTTGTTCAGTTGAAGTTGACTCAGAAGTTGAAAAGATGGGTGGAAAAATTAAGTTAGGAAAGTCAAATTATCCATTTGAAACCCATCTTTGTGGGACATACATATGGGACGATATGCCTGGCAGGTGTCTCTTTCAGGGTTTGGCAGTGTGGCTGGAATTTCCTCCTTATCACAGCCCTGCATTGAAAGTTATCCTTGAACTTGAATTCGTTTGCTTCTTAGATCTGTCTTTTGAAGCTAAAGTCCAGATTTCCCTATTTCAAGGCTCTAGACCATTAACTCACTTTTCAGGAGATTGAGAACGTATTGTAGAGTACATATTAAGGAACTGCATTTACTGTACATATACAAATTTTTGTAAAAAAATTCTCTTTTTCCGGGGACCAGTAAGTGGTGTGGCGATTAAGGCGCTGGACACTCCCACATGGTTGACCATGGTTTGAGTCCCAAACCTGGCGGCTTGCTTTCTCCCCCCCCCCCCCTCTGTCTCTCTAGTCAAATTAAAATAAATGAATGAATAAATAAAATTATAAATAACTCTTAAAAATTTCTATTTTTCTTATCAAATTATTCAATAATACTTTCTTCTCATAAATGAAATTTCATTTCATTTCATTCATTTATTTATTTATTTCAATTTGATCAGAGAGAGAGACACAGAGAGAGAGAGAGACAAAGTGAGAAAGCAAGCCACCAGGCTCGGGACTCAAATCATGGTCAGCCACTTGGGAGTGTCCAGCACCTCAACCATCACGCCACCTGCTGGTCCCTGCATAAATGAAATTTATTACCAGTGTCTTTCTAGTGGTTTCTCTTTTTTATACACAGTAGGAGTTTATTTCATAGTGTTGACTTGAATGTCAGATTTTAGTAAAATAGAGTTCAGGGCTAGGCTTATAGCTTAGTAGTTAAGGAAGCTGATCTCACGTGGTCAAATGTTTAAATTCCTGCCCTGACACTTTGAAAAATCCCACTGGAGGGGGCAGCAGGTGGCATGGTGGTTAAGGTACTGGACTCCCAGATGGCCAACCCACAGTTCAAGTCCTGTACCTGGAGACTTGCTTTCTCACTTTCCCCTCTCTTTCTCTGGCACTGTCTCTCTCTGGTCAAATAATAATAAATTAAAAAAAAAAAGAGACAGAGAGACAGAAAGCGAGAAATACCCCCCAGGGAGGATGGCCATGCCGCAATCCCTTCTCTATTCTCCTCACGGGATCTTGGGCACGCACGCACATGTGCCAGGCGTGAGTTTTAAGCCACCAGGTCCAGGACACGAACTGCGGTCAACTACATGGGAGTCCAGCGACAAAGCCATTATGCTAACTGCTGATCCCAAATAAATAATTCTTAAAAAGGAAAAGAAAATCCCACTGGGTTGGGTATGCATACCCCAAATCCCCAAAGGGTGGAGAAGGAGTGTTATGACCCCGCATCAGGCGTGCTTTCTCCCTCCTATCTGTCTCTCTTTGGGGCATGTACATGCCTTCTGGTGGAGGCAGGGTGATTACATAAGCCTTGTCTCCTTTTTAGAATTCTCCCACA